TATATATATTAAAACATCTAAAATATTATATCACATATATAAAATGTATCTAAAATATTCTATATTATTCTTGAAATATGTTTGGAGGTACCCGAATATTTTTCTAAAATATCATGTAAAGAAAACATGTATAAAAATATTTATATATAGTAAAATATTTAATCATTGTCCAAATAATATTTAAAATATCTAAAATATTATATAAGTTAATAATATTAATAATTAGATAGATGAAAATTAGCTTTTTAAAAAACAATAATAAAGAATTTGTATTGCTAATGAGATGTTTAATTTGAAAATTTACATAATCCTTGCTCAGAGGAAGTTCAAATGTATAAGTTTTCTTTGTTGTACACGTGCATAATAAAAATCTATAAAAATGTATAAGTTTTCTTTGTTGTACACGTGCATAATAAAACTCTATATTTATAGTTTAGATTTTTTGTTGTTTTACGGAAACAAATTCCTTAATTAAAGAAATCATGTATCTTCCAGCAGTCCACATATATATATATACATTCTTTACAATTTTAAATTTTGAATTTGAAGAGTTTTCTAATTAATGATTGAAAAAATATTTTTTATAATTTTAAATCAACCATATCTTCAATTTTACAATATTTTGAAATTACATAACATTTTTTTTAATTTTAAATCAACCGTAATTTTAAATCAGACGTAAATGAAAAATAAAAACTATAAATGTGTTACATGATTTTGTGTTAGAAAAAATGTTTGACCATTTCAATATTAAATCAACACTAATTAACACTAATTAATTAAGCATGCTTTTTAAAAACGAAATAACAGAAACCGCAATTAATGGGCAACATTCACGATTTTCTTAAAAGCAAAATAACGACATCCCGAATCAATGGTTAGCATTTAATGCTGCCATTTTTTTAAAAGAAAATTTAATAGAAATGGAATGTAATTAATGCAAAAAGATTTTGACCAAAGGTGTTGACTTGCTATTTTTGAAACAATGTTATTCTTTTTATATATTTATAGATTATAAATATAATTAAATAATATCACTCAATTATTCTCACACATTACATCAACTTTAATTCACTATACATCAACTCACATAATTTTAACTAACTATCACTTCACATCATCTATATCATACTTTTACATCAAAACAACTTTAATTATTTTATTTTAAATATTATTTTAATATAAACTCAATCCCACTAACAACTAACCATACTACTTTTTTCAAAATTAACCTTACAAAACCAAAAAAATCAAAAAAAAAAAAATAATAAAATAAAACTTATATCCAATATGTCTTTCAAGAATTTATCCAAAATACTTGGAAATTACCCACCCAATAGTTTTGGTCAATCTTAATCATATTTATTTTTATTTTCCATTCTAAACCAATTTTTCCTTCATTATGGGCCTGGCACCAAAGATTTCGTTTTGAGCATTGGGCCGGTGAACGTTCCTAGCAGGCCTGCCTATATCACAACAATTCAAGGCCATGCCAGTAAATCACAATTCTTCCCGCCAAAGTCATTGACGCTCCTCATTTCCCGCCACTCCTCATCCCTTCTCCTATCCTCGCCGTCCTCCGCCGCCGCCCTCAAAATTTCCAGTCAGTACTCGTCACTTACTCTACTCGAGCAGAGCTAGTCGTGGCATGATAATTTTCTTCATTTTTTGTTAGGAAAAGTTGAATTGTTCGAAAATGGTGAGAGAACTTGATAACACGAGCGAAGACATGGTGATAGACGGAGTAGAAGCAGGTCCAAACCAAAACAATGAGATACTTGATGGATTCAACTCTAATTACCTGAAGATCTACTATGGTAATATTTTAGTTTTCTTGGTTTCAATTCCTGTTCAAGTTTAGGGTCTCCTGCAATAAATTTTTTTTTTTTTTTTTTTTTTTCTTTCCCTAAGGAAGATGCAGTTTGATTTTTATTTCGATGATCTACTGTTCATACGGGATGAAATTGGTTAGTTTCGAGCTGTAGATATGCCGTCGGGAACTGTGTTGTTGTACTAACCTGTGATTTTTCTGTCACCAAGAATTTTGTTCTGCCTGTGATTGTTCTTACTAATTTGAAAGGATTGATTTTGACATCAGCTTTCAGTATTGAAACAAAAAATGAAACAGCTTTTCTCCGCTTACATTTAACGGAATTGGAAACTGGATTACAAGCTATAGTGGATGTAGTTGTGAAATAACTTAAAACTAAAAATTTGTGTAATTTGTGAATTTTTTTTCTAGACTTTGGTTGGGGGACTTTGGGACATTAAAATCAGATAATGGCGCCAGAACTGAAAGGAAATGTTGATGATTTTGAATTTTGTCTCCAGAATGTTTCGATCATGCAGTTCATTGGTTACACTTACAAGTCGTATATTTTTTTCTCAATGTAGTTTGTAAAGCTACTTTTGATTCAGTTTCATCAATACAGGTAAATTTTTTCCTTATGCCGATATGCATAAATGGATGTCATATGGAAACGGTAATCCTCTACTCTTGAGTGTTTTTTGCCTGTAGTTAACGTATTTATTGATTATTTTAATGGGTTTCACCATTGTACATTTGGTTGCTTATTTTTATATGGAAAGCATCCGAGATGTGACCCATCTAATCTCGAACACCTTATGCTTGCAGTTACCTTAATTTATGGATTATTTTGACGGGTTTTGAAATTGTACATTTGCTTGCTTATTTTAGATGGAAAGCATCCGGGATGTGATCAGTCTTATTTTGGGAGAAGAGAGTTCTCCTTTACTTTGGAGAATGATATATATCTACGTTTTCAGTCTTTCAATGATGCTAATGAACTCGAAAAGTCCATCAAGGAGAAGTGCCCCGTCAAAATTGATATTGGACCGGTTTACACTGTAGATGTAAGTATAACCTGTTCTACCTTCCGCAGAAAACTTTAGCCAGTTCAATATATCTGGTGCAATAAATAATCTCTGTATGTGCGTTTTTTACTTCGTCAAACTTACTTGGAGTGAGGCATGTTGAGAAATTTTGATAGGTTAGATATGACCTTGGCAATATTTTTTTTCTTGGTTTTCACTAATCCGGCTGTTTACACTTCTGCAGCCAGCAAAAAGGCATGCTTATGCACAGTCTGGTACTAACGTTTTCACCCCAGTAGAGAGAGAACTTATATTTGATATAGTAAGTATTTAGTTAGTTCTCGCTAGTTTTTGCAAGTTGAGCCTGGTGGAATATTTGATAGTGGAAACTAAATCAAGAATATGAGGATACATGGATTTGACTGAATTCGTATACTGCAGGATATATCTGATTACGATGATGTAAGATTTTGCTGCTCCGGAGCTGATGTTTGCCCGAAATGCTGGCCATTGATGACGGTAGCAATTAAAGTTATTGATACTGCCCTTAGAGGTAAATGGGGATATAGAGGTTACGTCCAGAATGAAAGGAGTGGCGAAGCCTTGCCTAAACTTCATTCTGTTAATTATTGGTATCTCTAGCTTTCAACCACAATAAAACACATTATTATTTCATCCGGGGCCAACTGTGTTGCAGAAATGTGGCGCATTTGGAATTGTTGGATTTTAACCTTTTTAACTTTTCATCATATTTGCATGTGATGTAGGATATTTTTGCTGGTCCTTTTATTTGGTACTTTATCTATTCTGTCTTTGCCATTTGATGAACTTCTTGAGCTGAAAATATTTCCCCACTCCTTGTCATAGACGTTTTAGAAAAAAAACTGCTAATTAACTTCCCTTTTGTACCTATTGGTTGAGAGAGCCTTTTTTATGAGCAGTTTCTTTTGTTTATTAACCATTACCTTACTATAATAAAAGTAAAAATGCCTTGAAATATTTTAGAATGATCTGATGTGCAGATGACTTTGGGTTCAACCACATTTTATGGGTTTATAGTGGTCGTCGTGGAGTCCATTGTTGGGTTTGTGATGGAAAAGCAAGACGGTAATCATGATTTTTTTTTCTTTTGAAGGTCTAAATTTTTTTTTACAAAGTTTCTTGAGACTAATGCATGCTAATTTGTTATGGTGACCAGGTTAAACAATGAACAAAGGTCCGCCATTACCGAGTATTTGCATGTTCACAAGGTTCTTCCCTCATCCCCTGCCTCCCCATACCCATGCTTTCTGTATATATGGCTATCATTATTATATTCTCAAATTTTTATTCTATATATGTCTTGTTCCTTTTTCAGGGAAATGAAAATAGCCAGAAAAAAGTTACTCTATCCAGTCACTCACTTCATCCTTTCCTTGGGTAAGTACATTCTTACGTTAATTGCTCATCTGTGGACTCCATTGTTCTGTGGCTTAATGTTTGTACTTTTCCATCTTTTAGGAGATCATATGCTGATGTTTTGAAAGATTTCTTCGAGCAAGAGTTCATTTTCAGCCAAGATTTGTTTTCAACTGAGGGAAGATATGAAAGGATACTGGAAATGATTCCAGATGAAAGTAAGCTTTTGTGCTTTATAACTGCCCGTGTCTTATTTTTGTTACTTAATTTATAGCAATCCTCACTTTCCACACTTTGGCAGCTATTACTTCTGAGCTAAGGGGAAAGTGGCAGGACAATAAACGGTCCCGCGATGATGTGAATGTCGTCCGGTGGGGCCATATTAAGCATCTGCTGCAATCAGGAAAACAGAAGGTGTTGGGTAGTGTTTTATATGTTGAAATATGATAAGAAAAGTCGGAAGGAAAATAAAATTTATGGAAATTGGTGTTGGAGATGACGCAGTTGTTTCTATATTCCTTGCACTTATGTGAATAGACATGTTATTTCTTCTATTACTTAATTCTTACTTGTATTTTGTTTTCCGCCTTATGCAATTCTGCTACTTAGTCTCAATATATATTTTCCAGTTTCCTAGTTCACTTGAGAAATTTCTCCAACTATAAAGCTTCATTTTAGCATGATGATGAATAATTAATTGAAATTAACTAACAAAATTCCTATGTTTCAGATACAAAGTATACGCAGGTGTGTTGAGGAGATAGTGTTCTCCTTCACTTATCCAAGACTTGATCTGGAGGTTCTTAATTTTTCTTCTTTACATCCTATTCCAGTGAAGTTTTTTTTTTTTTCCTCCTTAATGAAAGCTTAAAATAGTAAACTACCAAATACAGTTGCACATTGTACACTACTCAATATCTTGTCATGGGCTGGTGATCTCAATTTTGTTGCCACTCAGGTTTCAAAACACATGAACCACTTGCTGAAGGCACCCTTCTGCATACACCCGAAAACAGGTAAGTGCTGATAATCATGGTGAATTCCTGAACCCTGAATGAGAAGTGCATTCCATAAACATTCTCTCTTTTTATCTTACAGGCCGTGTTTGTGTGCCTATTGATCCCAATAAGTGTGAAGAATTTGATCCGTCTGCTGTACCAACTCTTGCAAGGGTCAGTATTTTTGTTGGTGGTGCATGTTAGAAAAGATTTGCATCATATTATATGTTAAACACTCAAACTGATACTGATGTACACTCTTTGTTTTCTTTGAGTTGAAAAATATGTCAGAGTAGTAAGTCTAGATCGTGCTACTTAAATCTAGTTTGCTTAGTTTTTTTATGAGCTAATAGTGTCTCAATGATGAGGTATGTTTGCCTTGTAGCCATATTTTCTATTTGAGCGTTGCACTGTCTGGAGGAGGTGTTCTGTAACTATAAAATAACATAATGAAATTAGATCATGATGATTTAGGATGATACTTGTCAGTTCTTGCAACCTCGTTTACACAGTGTCTTTCTTGCAATATAACAGTTGCCATACCTTGTATCTAATGATCTATTGGACAGAAGTTCTGCCACTCTGAAACTGCTACAATCTTGTAATACAATGTCTAATATATATTACTAGTTATCAAATTCATCTGTAGGCTATCTGGTGATGAGTTTTCTTTCTTTACTTTGAGACTACGTGCTTCAGATTTTGAAATCATGAACATGAAGTCCTTGCTTCTCCATGATTTATGTTGCTTTTGCTCATTTTGATTATGGCATGACAATGCAAAAGATAGGAAAACCTTTTTTCATCCATATATGATTTTGTTTGAGGGTGGTTAGCAGCTCTCTTTATGCTCTGAGGTTTTTCCAAATTTTGTGCTTGAATTGCCATGAACATATGATGTTAATGATAATCTCTAGTTCTAACAGAGTTAGAAATAAATTTTTTAAGATAGATCATAAATCATTCCATTTTCATCATGGGTCATTTTGGTGTCAAGATTTTACGTCATACCCTTCTTTTTATCATCATGCAGCTCCTGGAAGAGCTCAACACGGGAGCATTAGGAACTGGTAGCGAGGAAGGTATAAACACATTCTTTGAAGTTCATATTGACATCTCTGTGCGTGTGTGTGTGTGAAGTTCACATTTGTTCTTTCTATACGAAATTTCAAAACTTGTTGGGTGGCAGAACTGGAAAATTCATCACTTGGCAAATCAGTCAGATATTTTAGGTCGTCTTTCTTGCAGCCTCTGCTAAAGTCATGCAAGGTATAAGCCTAAGCCGTCTCTTATTCTATTAGGAAAAAGTCTAAGTTTGCGATAAGATATTCTAAGCCATTCGGGTGCGTCATGCAGGAAGAGATCGAGAGTTCATTTGCTGCTAAAGCTCAACAGTCAAAGAACAGCCTGAGCTGGTAACAGACAGTCCCCAGTTATAATCTGACTCATGAAGATGATTGCTTGTTTGCTTTTGTGAGGTCATATGAAGCATTTGAATAGTTGTATTTGTTATGAATGCACTTTAGTTTGGGAGGGGATTTGTTGTACAATGTATTTGGCGCAAAACACAAGTTTATTAGTCATCATGTTTTTCGTGCCCTATCGTTGTATCATAGAAAATAGTTTCTTTTCAATTGTTATGTTTCTATTTTTTTAGGGTTAATTGTTGGATGGCGAATCCTTTTGCCATTTTCCCCGCTTAGGGTTATGTGTTGGAAATAAACAAAGTAGAATGACATTTTTCTTTCCATCTATTTATCTTTTATTTTTCCCACGTGAAAGAAAACTTAGATCGATAGAGGCTTTCCCTTCGAGTGCGTGAGGTTTTCGACGTCTCGATGGCAGGATTTGGCTACGTGCTCTGAATTTTTTTGGGCAGAGGTTGGAATAGAGATGGGCTCCCTTTCTCCCACTTTTTTCTTAATTACATGGGGTTGGTTGCTAAGTCTTTGCCGGTAGTGGTGGGCCATCGCTAGTGGCTGCTCGGTAAAGTCGTCGATGGTTGTCGAGGGGGTTTGAGCATGGGGCTTTCGTGGTGCCATATTCTCCCTGGTTTTCTGGTTGTCTTTGGGGTTAGGAGACGGGTTGCGCTGGTGGTGAAAGTCGAGGGCTCTTGATGTTTGTTAGCTTCTAGTTGCCGGTCGAAGGGGATTGTTGGAGTTTGGGGCTAATTTTCGTTTGATTGGTTCACGGGTGTCTACTTTGGGAGAGTTTCAGGGCGAGAATATTGGATCTTATTAGGCGTTTTCTGCAGTTTTAGGTCTCGGTGCTTTGGCACGGTCTTCTTTCCGTTTGGGTGGGTACTCTCGGTGGTGGTGGCGGGGTCTCGCGGACTTTGCTTTTCTGTTACGGAAGAGGGCTCTAGTCTGTGTTTTTGTTTTTGTCATTGTGTTGTTCGTGTGTTTTGTTGGTCCTCTACTATGCTGCTTGGCGCTTAAGACGTCGGTGACAGGCCTCGATTGGGTTTTGACTCCTAACTGGTTGCCAATTAGGGTGAAGGTCGATTGACTCTCTAGGTGTTGTGGTGGAGTGGGTTTGTAGTGTGTGCGGGTTGTTTTCGTTTTATTCAGTTGTAGAGCTTCTTAGTTTAGCTTTGTGTTGTTTGTGGGTGAGTTGTGAGCTATTATTAACGTCTAAGCAATCTTCAGATTTGTCTTCTCGTGAAATTTGTCTCAAGATTATTTAACTGTCATGCTGTTTCTAATTGTAATTATATACTTTTTTCTATAAAATTAATGTCGCTCCCACCAAAAAAAATCTCACATTTATTATATTATTCCACCAACTTTCATATTAACTTAACAATTTGAGACATAATCTATCATTCCAATATCTTCTTATCTCAAATTGTAAAGTTAAGGCCTTGATTTCCACCTTTACCCCTAACCCCCTATGTGGCCAAGAATAGAAAGCCACGGAGCCCCGTACAACTAACTTAATCCACCCCACCTTTCCTTTCCTTTGCAACAAAACCAACACTGAATTTTGTCAATAAAACAATAGAAAGTAGTAGGTTTCCATTTTAAACCAATTAAAACTGTGAAAAGCACTCTCTAGTCTCCCCACTCAAAAATCCCTATCCCACAACCAATCCCCTTCCCCAATTTGCTCTCCCACTTGGACTTATTTTAATACTATATTGGCCCCTCCATTTACTTTCTATCACAATTCACAGCCGTGGATG